TTAGATGCAGTGATACCCAGTGTGTCTATAATTCACTCTTGGTTGCAACATAGAGTTACCTTCATGATGGCAGTCTGTCAAAATCAAGTCTATAATGCTTTAACTCTTCACTGAAGGCTTTCAAGAATTAAAAACTAAAGCTGATGTTGAATATGGCAAATTGTATCTCCCTTCTTACTTTTCCTATTTCCCTCTATTTATTTTTAATATCTTGATGCTCCACTTCTTAGTTTCATTCTCTTATTATTCTTGTTGTTTTAACCCCCTCCATTTCTTCAATCTCTTTCCATTGTTTATTTCATTTTTATTTTTAAAAATCTTACTCAAACTCCATTATTTTATTATGGCTTTTGGGGATGAATGTGCTTAACTCCCTTATAGATTCCTAAATTCCTTATCATGATTTATACTATCCAGTAACCAAAATCTAAATGGGAGTCATCCTGGACACCTCCAAATCTCTCATCCCGAGGTATGATTGTTCATCAGGTTCTTTTTATTCTTCTTTCCATTTTATTCTTTTTTCTAATTCATTACTCTCCTTCTGATTTCTACTATATCTGCCTTAGTTCAAGCCTTCACCATCTCAAGCCTGGACTCTTTGTCCACAAAAGGTTGACCTCCCTCTGCCCCTTCACACGCCTGCCATCCCAAGCATGTCACTCCCCAGTTTCCTTCACTTGTTCTCCAGAACTTGTAGATAGAGTCCTGTCTTCCACTGCATGCAGGACCCTCCAAAACCAAGTCCCTGTGTCTCTCTTTGTAGCCACATCTCCACTGCCTGCTCATCTGCCAACCCACTGCTCCCATACTGAGCTACCTCCATGCCCCCATGACTACATATACTCGTCCTCTGCCAGGAATGCCCAGCATTTCCATGTCTTCTTGGTAAATTGTTTCATACCTTCTAGTGCCCCTCTTAAGCTTGCCTTCTCCTGATGCTTCTGCTGATTACCACCCCCTCTGTGTACTCATGGTGACTTCTTTCTACTCTGTTAGAGTACTGCCCATATTGTGAAAATTATTTGCTGCCACTCCCACTAAACTGTGCTCCCTCTGAGGACAAGGACCTTGTCATATTCCTTTCATAGTCTCGGTGCCTGGCACATAGTAACATTTACTAAGTAAATAATAATGGTTGGGTGAATGGAGCACATTATTTAAAAACCATTACCTTGAGGGATGGACAGATAGATATATATGTGATAAATAAAGCTCAGGAAAATATTAATGCTGGAATCCAAATGGTGGGTGTTCATTGTACAATTCTTTCAACTTTGCTGTTATGTTTGAAACTTTTTATTATTTTCATAATAAAATGTTAGAAAGGGAACCAATTCCTAAACCGTGGCTATGAAAACAATTCTCAAGATTCTATCCATTTCACCCACCCCATGTATTTTAGATCATAAGGGATCTCCCTTAGTCCTACTCTGTCTTCGGGTAGAGCTGAACTAGTTTCTTAGTAGCCTCCCACTAACAGTCAAGAGAACCTGATTCTGCTGGGGAGAAAGGGGTCTTCTACTCTCCTGCAGTAACCAGAGCCTCCAGTATTAGACTTGTCTCCCAACTCTCCCTTAGTAACAGGCATTTCTTCTCTCCTTGGTCTGATTTTCAGAAGTCACATTATTTATTTATTTATTTATTTATTTATTTAATTTATTTATTTTTAAAAGATTTTATTTATGGGTGCCTGGGTGGCTCAGTCGTTAAGCGTCTGACTTCGGCTCAGGTCATGATCCTAGGGTCCTGGGATCGAGCCCCATATCGGGCTCCCTGCTCCGCGGGGAGCCTGCTTCTCCCTCTCCCACTCCCCCTGCTTGTGTTCCCTCTCTCGCTGTGTCTCTCTCTGTCAAATAAATAAGTAAAATCTTTTTTTTTTTAAATCTTTTATTTGGCCTTGAATATTGTCATCTGCAAGGGTGTGTCCTGGTATCATGGGAATGGCTTATGAAGCCGGAGAACTGAGAGAGAGAGAGAGAGATAGAGAGAGAGCATGAGCAGGAAGGAAGGGCAAAAGGAGAGGGAGAAGCAGGGAGCCCAATGAGGGGCTCGATCCCAGAACCCCAGGATCATGACTGAACCAAGGGTAGATGCTCAACTGACTGAGCCACCCAGGCGACCCCCAGAAGTCATATAAGATTACTCATATTAATTTCATGCAAGAACCTTTTCTCTTTTGAAATCCATGTTATCTGCCCATTTCATATCTTTACGAATGACAACTTATGATTTAATTCAACCATTTCATCCTCTTTTCCCAGGGCACACACTTGGTTATTTTTCCAACTACACATTACAGCTGGTTCACAGACCAGTTTAGTCTCTGAAGCTTGCCTTGATCTAAAAGGTTAAAGTCACTGGTCTTCCAATTCTACTCTCTTAGCACTATATCAACTGCTCCACATAACACCTTCTACCTTCCTTTTTTTTCTTAAGTTATCTTCCCTGTAAGACTATGAACTTACAAATGCGCTTGAATTTTCCATAATGAATGGCCAAAGCTGGCCACAACAAGCATTCAATAATTAGCTGCTGATGAAATGAACTGATAGTTTCAGGTATTTAAATGTATTCAATATATGCTATTGGGAAGCCAAAGAGAACAAAAAAACAAGTTATGACAGACATAACCACTTTAAATCTAATTTTGTAAGAGTGATCCTCTTTCTTTTCAATGAGTCAGCAGCTTTAGGGAATAATAGTTCTAAGATTAGTCATATTTTGCAGGAATTAATAATTTCCTAAAAGTTTCCTCCTTTACTAAGAAGGCTAAAAATACTGTGTTAACTGCTTATTCCAAATTAATATTAATAAAAAGTGATTTGGCCAGGCAGATTAAATGACCATCAGGTGTTTCTCCAAATAATTCAAAAAACCTCAGATTAACACCTATCCATTTTAAGAGAATTTCTTTAAGGCAGAAGTAAGTCCAGTTGCAAATGATATTTTGCCCACCCTGAAAAATTTGCATCTCCAACTGTAAAGCTTATGTATAATAATTAGCCACTATAGAAAAGCTTTTGGGGAAATTACTAAAATGCCTAAAATGAAGCTGTAAACAGAATTTCAACATATATATTGCTGTGGGTACGTTAAAAAGCCAGTTGTTTCAGCAATGACTGAGCCTGAATCTTTTGACTCAGGACAACAGTCATGCTAGAAGTGTTGCTACTTTATAATCAGAAGCTCTGTTTTTATGTTAAAATACCCTACTTAGAGAGTGAATTAATAGCATAAAAATGTAGTTGAAACTGACATGTCCTTGGGCTCTGCCAAATCTGGGTTCAAATCCTAAGTCACTACATCCTAGTCTTATAATTTGGGCAAATTACTATCGTTCTCCGTGCCTCAGTTTCCTCATCAGTGATACCAACTCTTGAAAGGTTCTTGTCATAATTATAACATGCATGTGCATGCACGCACACAAACGTACACAGATATTAATGTCTATGAGATATATAAGGTGGGTAATAGATATAAAGGGCCTACCATAATACCCAACACACAGTAATTTAATATGACCATTATATCCTCTTTTCCACCTCAACCTTATTTATCTTCCACCTCAGAAAGCAAAATGGACCTCTAGACCCGTGTGATTATTTGCTAATAATTTATAATAGATAAAGTTGTTTGCTGGTCTTATACAAGAGAGATACTTTTATTTAGACTGTTTTGCTAAGAAAAATACTTTGGTTTGTCATGGATTTTGAGTCCTTCTTAAGAGAAGAAAAGCTAGATTTCTAGAATGTCCCTTATCAAAGGGACAAAAAAGTAGATGACATCAGAGCCAGAGATTTTGCAAATTAAAATTGTGATTCTGAATTGGTATAGGATAAGGCTATATTTATCTGAAAGAGTAAATTATACAGTAAGGATATTGTGTTGAGGCTCAGATATAAAAACCAGTACATTTGCAAAGATGCAAGTTCTCTGCATCCTGTCATACAAGATGATTGCTCCTCCTAAAATAAAATTCTTAAGGAAACATTTTAAAATAGTGAATGTAATTTTTTAAAAAATCCTTTAAACTGGATACATTTGGTCAAAAGGAATAGATCTCTTCTTAATAGGTTCATGAGCACATAATTTTCATTTGAAAAATATTAACAAATTATGTTCAGGATAGTTCTCTACTTTTGTTTTAAGCAGAGCCCTATGACTGAGTTTCCTACATAATTTAAGTTAGTAGCTTCAAGATGTTCTTGCGCTGTATTTGAGCAGGGCTCTATTTTCATATGACATGGCAGTTTGAATTTCCTGACTATGCCATATTTGTCTTTATACTTCCCATGATTTTGTAACAGTGCTTCTTATATAGTAGCATTCAGGAAATTTTAAATGAATGCCTAACGGAATAGGCAAGATATATTTATTGAAATAAGATATAAGAAAATTCAGGATTTGGGCTGGCATCTGCTATTAATAAACAGATTTCCCAATACATAAGAGAAATTTCAGAGCCCAAAGACCTTTGTCTTCCTCTATAAACAGCTACGTAATTATCTTTTTCTTCTTTTCTACAATGAGAAAATTAGCATTTGAAACAGTTTCAAACATATCCTTTCATTATATGTATAGCAAGCATGAATTTTAATCTTCATGATGGTAGAGATCCATTGTTCTATCCAAAAAGAAACAGAAGTTTTCACTTCAAACTGTGGTTCATTAGAAATCATCTCTCTATTCTGGCACAAGTCAAACAGAATGCTAGGTTGGATGTGACCTTAGAGGTCACCCACTCCAATCTCTCATTGTATAGATAAGCAAACTTAGCTCCAGAAAGGTTAAGTGACTTATCAAGGTCATGTAGTTAGTGTCAGAGTTGGGGGGGGGGGAATGCAGGTTTCCTTATCACATCCAGTAAACATGCAGCTTTCACAAAAGCTCTATACAAACCACATTACAACGGTGGCTTTATGGGGCTCTTCAAACCCTGGGAACCAGTACACGTGGGTCACTAGGGGCCACAGGCCCTTTCTCCATGGGAAACTCACCTTCAGTATTGGAAATGGGGGTACTGTCACATTTGCTTTCACACTGCTGCATCGATGGGGGCCGAACAGTTTCTGGACAGTCACCAGATGCCTGTCCAGTGTAGGAGAGACACTGCACAGTCCTCATCTGCTGGCCAAGGCCACAATGAGCGGAACACTAAACCCAAAGACACGGACAGAAACAAAATAGTGATCTCAACGATTTTCAGAAGGTAAAAAGATACTATATCTTTTCAAATACCATATATATATTAGCTTTTAAAGTTCATATGAAATTCATCTTGGAGAAGTGTATGATTAAGTCATTCTCCTCTAGAATTGGTTTAGAAATTCACAGATCACGTGATGACCCTAGAAAATGGAAGCAATATCATTTCCAGGAAACAAGAGATTTCATGGGCTATTTTTCTAACAGTTCCAAGCAGGTGAACTGTCACAGGAGTATAGTAAGAAAACCCTCATGATGAAGTAGGGTAATAATGAGAGATTCTAAGGCTGGACATCCCTTGTGCTCCCTATTTATTATAGGCTTATGGGCAAGCAATCTGATGGTCTACTGGAGTGCTGTGAATCTGATCAAAATGTGAGTTCAGTGTAAGAGCAGTGACTGCTGTGCAGGTTGGTGACGGGGACCAGTTTAAAAAAAAAAAAAGAGCTTAAATAAGTACCTTGAGTTTTCTCAGGTATTGTCGGTCACACAAATGTGAACCAAGTAGCATGTCTCTCTCTCCTTTTTCATCTACTTAGTAATTCAGTTACTTCAGAATTGAAGTTACTCTCAGAGTGACTTAGTTTCAGCTGGGACTAATCAGCTGTCCAGGCTGAAGAATGAAGTGGGGTCTACCCTTTGGGCCTGCCACCCAGAATACCAGCAAAGCTGTGAGACTTGGGATCAAGGAGATGAGCTAGCCAGTGCCAAGACAGGTGATGGTGATGCTTACAAGGTAAACAAACTGAGGCCTCACTGAATTTATCTGAAAAAACTCTCAAAGCACTTATAGGACTTATAAGGATATTCATAGACTCATTCATTAAAAAAATGTTTAAATACAAAATGACAATAAAATTGGACCATAAAAATGTATCAAAGCATCCTTGAGAAGGTATTTTTACCAGTTGATTTTAATTTTAGGAAACTGAACTTAAAATATAGATGAGAAGAAAAGGACTTGACAATATTTAAAAGAATAATCTGAAATTGATTACTGTAAATTTGGGAAAATCACTAACATGCAAAAACTTTCAACTGACCTTTATACAATAGCGCATTGCAACAAAGAATATGTAAGGAAGGACACGTCTACCTGGTTTAAATAAAAATTAGGAGAGCATGTCTGTACTGATTCTTTAATAGCATATCAATTCCATATTATGAAAGAGTTACACTTCCACAGTGACACACATAATTGCTTATAATGCTTAACCTTATCATGTGTATTCCACTTAAGTATTTTATAAATTAAATACTGCTATACAAATGCAAATTATTAATTATTTGTTATACAAATGCAAATGTTAACTATTTTATGATCATACTTTTTTTGTTTACCCACAAGGCTGACTGAGCACAGAGCAAGTATATTTATTTGCCTTAATGGAGACTGAAAATCTTTTGCCCTTGCCTAAATGTAATGAAAGAGGTCCGTAGATACTGCTATACTCTAGAAATACTGAAGTTTGGCCAGAGTTTTACTAACTACTTCTATGCAATGCCATTTTTAAGAAGTAATGGCAGGTCCAGTCCAGAGCACACACAAAATCATACTGGTATAGTTATGTGCCATGATTTGGGTCTCAGATTTTAGGAAACAACTAACTACAAGGTTAATTATAAGACCACAGGAAAAGGGCAATAACTGTCTAGAAATTTACTTTCTGGAGCATTATTTTTTAGTGTAACCTAATAGATTTCCTTTTTGACATTCAAAGGAATAATACTCAATTTTCCTTGTATTCAAATATACCAATTCGTTTTAAAAGGATTTAAGGTGGCCTTCTGCAATATAACACAATTTAAAAGTCAGTGAGACTAAAGAAAGAAAAAATGTAAATTAGAACATAAAATGAGTCCAACAAAAATACACATGAAAAGCCCTATATACTGGCTTCCCAATTCATGATGTCCCTCAGATAAACCCACTGAAGAATAAATCTTAATAGTATTGCAAATACTGTCAATCACATTATCAACCTAATCCCCATACCTTTTCTGTGAAGTTAAGAGGAGCTACTTTGCAAGTAGGAAAGTTAAGACACTGGTATTAACTGATTTGTTCTTGAAGTAGTTGAGAGATGGGACTAGAATCCAAAGTTTTGTCGGCTTGCTCAAATATCTGGCCATATAGACTACTTCTTTTTCCATTCTAAGTTAAAATGTTAAGATCCAAGGAGTAGGTAGAAGTAGGAAGTGTGTGGGGTGGAAGAGACACAGCTACTTAGTCTATGTGTGGTAGCTCCTGCATGTGCCTTTTTTCATACTTGTATCTCAGACCTAGATTTCTCAGCAGTGTTACTCATCTCTTAAGCCCTCATAATGACCCAGTCAGGAAACTCAAGGGTCTCAAGGTGCTGCTTCAGCAGGAGCCCCCCAGTCCAACTGCCTTACCTGACCCCAGTCTCCAGTCACCCAGCGAGGAGGAGGGCAGCGACCCAAACTGCAGCGGATACGGACAGGGGGTTTGCTCTCTTCTGGACACTGTGTAGCTGGGAATGTTTTAGAGAGGTCACTGCTCTTGCACAGAACAATCCGATGCTTGAATCCTGGACCACATTTGGGAGTGCACTGGAAATGAAACAAATACTAATGAATAATGGCATTCTAAAGATAGAGGAAAATTGGAGGAAAGTCTTTCTTGAAGTAAATGTGTTTGGGTATACAATATGTATATACACTAAATGCGGGGCAAAGTCTTTCAGATAGGAAAATTCCTTAAGTTTTTAAGCAGAAGTGCTTTTATCTTTTTCCCTAAGGACTTCAAGAGCTAAACCCAAAGCTTGCTTTTCTTGGCTGACTTATTTTCTTCTTTTATTGTGGGTAGGTTTATTCCTCGATTCCTCCCTATCCTTGGCCACATTCAGCTGTGATAAGACTCTGCTAATTTTTGGAATGTGGAATCCTTGGTTTCCTACTTGCTGGGTGTAATCTTCTGAAAAGAATCCTTATGTTATTCGTAGACCATGAGAACTCGTCTTTGTGAAGCAAGCTAGGTGTTGACTGAGGTGTGTTTTCTTAGAGTGTGGTAACTAAGAATGCATAGCCACTGGTGAAGGTTTATTGCACAGAAAATCTCTGGACTTTCCCCTGTCCATAATGAATTTCCCTAAACATAATGAATTTGACTATTCTTTTTTTTTTTTTTAAAGATTTTATTTATTTGAGAGAGAGAGAGAATGAGAGATAGAAAGCACGAGAGGGAAGAGGGTCAGAGGGAGAAGCAGACTCCCTGCTGAGCAGGAAGCCCGATGCGGGACTCGATCCCGGGACTCCAGGATCATGACCTGAGCCGAAGGCAGTCGCTTAACCAACTGAGCCACCCAGGCGCCCTTGACTATTCTTTAGTTGGACCAGTCTGATCTTCATACTGAAGAAAAGATGTCACACAGTCTATTATTTACCTCTTCTCCACGTTAATTGTAATGTTCTTTTTCTAGAGTCACCTATTAAACCTGGTGATTGACTAAAGTCTCCAACTTTCTCCCCTGCATGTCTGAACCCTTCCTTAAAATCTGTTCTTCCTCTCAGTCAAGTGACGACCTTACCCATAACATTTTGAAACCCTGTTTCTATCCCTTTCATTCAAAAAAAAGAAAGAAAGAAAGAAAAAGAAATTTTCCAGATCTACTGCAAGAGCTATACTACACTGAAGAGAAGGGGATATAAAAATGAATAAGATGATCTCTACCTTCCAGGAACTTGTAGTTTTTTAAAAAGATTTATTTATTTATTTATTTTGGAGGGAGAGAGAGAGAGAAGACGCAGGGCAGAGGGAGAGAGAATCCTCAAGCAGACTCCCTGCTGAGTGTGGAGCCCCTACATCTCTCTCACATCTGTTGATTTCTCTCTGTCTCCACTGTCACTAACCTTACTTCAGACAAACATCATTTCCTTCATGTAATGTTGCACTGGCTTTCTAACAGGTCTCCTGTTTCTTACTCTTACCTCAGTTCACTCTCCAAAGCACAAATCCAATTATATGCTCTTGTGATTAAAATAAAAACATCCTTCAATGGCTTGCTATTGTCTTCAAGATAAAAATTCAAACTCTAAATATGCTTACTATACCCTGCTAGGAACGCTACGTTTACCTCTTCAGATTCATCTCTCCACACTCACGTGCGGTATTCTCTAGTGCCAGCCCAGTGCCACACACAATGTCAATGCTGCTGTCACTTCTGTTAGTTAACCACTACTAAAAAGAATGATGATAATAGCGGCTACCATTTAATAAACATAGTATATACCAAGTGTCATGCTAAGTGCTATAATTTACATAGTCTTCACAAAAATCCTGTCAGATGGCAATTACTACGCTGTTTTTAAAATGAGGAAATGGTCTAGAGTAAGTGGTAGAAAGTCATGCAGCTATTAAATGGCAGACGTAATGCTAACTCCTACTGTCTCCTGGATGTTAGGCATTACACTATGTACTTTGCAATTATTATCTCATGTAACCATCACAACAATCCCAACACTTCATTTTTCAAGAATCCAAGACATGCAATCATCTCCTGCGATCATGTCTTCTGTAGAATTAATAAAGCCCTGATTCCAGTTTCTTGAGCATGCCCACTTGTGTTTAGTCCTCCTGACTTCGCCCCAAGTCTCCTCCACCATCCACCAGTGTTAGAAGCCAAAGCCTTAGAGGATTTCTGTCACTTTCTTAATGCTTAATATTATCATCAATAATAACACTACTAACCTGACATTTCATTAGCATTTCACAGTTCACAAAACACCTTCAAATACATTATTCTCATATAAGTTTTTGAGAACAGTTACAGATAAGGAAAGCTTAAGCAACTTAAGGTGAAACAGATAGCAAATGGTAGAACAGGAACTAAATCCTAGGCCTTCTGATTCACACTATAGCTCTTAGCATCAGCAGAAACAAAGCCATGAGAACATACAAGAAATATTAATTAATTATTAAAAAATAAATTGAGATAAAGTATGAAAAGAAGAGTACTTCTGACTTTAGGGAGATAGGCAAAAACACGTAGGATAGATAGGAAATTCAATTTTAGTATTTCAAGCTATGATTAGTTCTCCATATTGGCAACATTTATTAATAAATACACTTGTGCCATTCCCCTCTCCCTTTACATTTTAAAAGCATATATATGTATATTAAAGCTGGGGACATATGCTCTTCCCTTATTTGGATATCTTTTTCCAGTAGCAAGAAGCTCCTGCTATTATTTGAAGAATGTGGTAATATCTAGCAGTCTTTGCTAAGAGCCTATGCCAAAGTCCTGCTTACAATTAGCGGAGCCAGACAATGCAATGATAGACAATTCATTCATTTGTGTCTAGAAGTGCCCAGGAAACCAAAACCAAACCAAAACAAATAATACTGGCATTAACAGGGAGAAGAATAAAAAGAGAAAGCAACACTAATATTTATTAAGCACCAGGCAGTGTTGTAAATACTTTGCATGTCATACTCTACCCGATGCTCACAGAAACCTTATGAAGTACTATTTTCACACCCACTCTACAGGTGAGAAACTGAAGCACTGAGAAAGATTTACAGATAAATCCAGATAGCAAGTTTCTACCAGAACAAAGCTCTGAAATGTAAATGTACAGAGATACAAACTCTCTGTGGGACAACATGCGATTATACACAAAACTAAGCATACAATGACAACTTCTACTGAGGCAAAAAATAATTTTAGAAAATTACAGCCCAACTCCACTAAATAAGCTAAGGATATTCCAACCCATAGCACTAGAAGTAGAGATAATCAACCGGATTCTCAAAATAATGAATGACTGAAAACTACATTTCTGCCAGTTTCTGATTCAATAAATACACCAGCCCTGACCCCTGCAGATCTAGCCACAAATACTACATGTCTGTGGCCAAAGCCTCAACTCTGCTCTCTGCAAATATTGTACTTCTTAAGGGAGATTATAAAATTAAATGTTTAGGGGCGCCTGGGTGGCTCAGTCGTTAAGCATCTGCCTTCGGCTCGGGTCATGATCCCAGGGTCCTGGGATCAAGCCCCGAATCGGGCTCCCTGCTCAACCAGGAGCCTGCTTCTCTTTCTGCCCCTCTCCCCGCTCATGGTCTCTCTCTCTCTCTGTCTGAAATAAATAAAATCTTTTTTAAAAAATTAAATTTTTAAAAATTCCTTGTGAAAAAAAAACAGTAAAGGCATAGGGATGCCACTTAGACCAGCTCCATTCGAGGAGAACTCTATCCGGCAAATTATTTTGACCTTAGGTCAGAGATGTCCAAGCAGAGATGTCCCTCAGGTTGTTTTTATTTTTACTTCTTCCTTCTGCTTTATACAGCCTACATTTCATCTCTCTAGCCTTCTGATAAATATGTTTATCCATCTGACAGCTCCAGTTTTATTTAACTATCTAAAAAAACAAGAAATTTTAGGCAAGCAAGATGTAGCCATGATTATGTATATGATTAATAGATATTAACTTAATTATAAGTGCTTCGGAGCATTCTTCAGAAATAATCATTGGTCTCTGCCCCCATAAAGGGTAGATTTTTATGTATTTTTTACCACACACTAAAATTCATTAGTAACAATTAGATATGGAATACTTAGCTCATTTTTTTAGATGAAAGCATAGCTATAAACATCCAAGTCCATCCCATTCATTCTCACAATAAATTACAGGTAGAGCGGGAACTAAATCCCAGGACTTCTGATCCACGCATTAGCTCTGAGCATCAGCAGAAACAAAGTCATGAGAACACACAAGAAATACTAATTAATTATTAAAAAATAGGGGCGCCTGGGTGGCTCAGTCGTCAAGCGTCTGCCTTCGGTTCAGGTCATGATCCTGGGGTCCTGGGATCGAGCCCCGTGTCGGGCTCCCTGCTCGGCGGGAAGCCTGCTTCTCCCTCTCCCACTCCCCCTGCTTGTGTTCCCTCTCTCGTTGTGTCAAATAAATAAATAAATAAATAATCTTAAAAAAAAAATAAAAAATAAAAATAATTATTAAAAAATAAATTGAGATAAAGTATGAAAAGAAGAGTACTTCTGCCTTTAGGGAGATAGGCAAAAACATGCAGGATAGATAGGAAATTCAATTTTAGTATTTTAAGCTATGATTAGTTCTCCATACTGGCAACATTTAGGAAGATACTATTATATATGTTATAGGAAGATACTATTTCAGTGGACAATCCATTCTTTAGTAAAATTATTTCTCCCTATTTTTCTTTATTGCAGGTAAATACCTATTTTTCCTAATCATTCATATAATCAAAATTTTACAATACTTTAAAATCTGACCAGAACATTTGGTTTGTGTTTTCACCTCAGTGGGATATAGGAGGTAATTTTTATGAGAGACGCATTTATGCATTAGCTTTAGTGATCAATGATTAAAAAGCAAAAACATATTTTGCAGAGAAAAGTATTTGAAACCTCACCAGGGAAAACAATTTGGCTCTCACTTGTAAAGGATAGAAATGTTAACAGTTTGGGGTTAGACTGAGTTCTCTCCAGAGAGGTAGCTTTAATTCACTTAGTTATAGCACCAGAGTAGAACCTAGGAATAAGCCAGGTGATGTCACAGCTGTCTTCGAAAACAAAGCACAGTCCCCTGTAGGTAGGTTTTCCATCCTTTCCAACGCCCCCCCCCCCATTCCTTCTTAGGTAATGCTACCTGAATGTAAGTCCTATAAAAGCAATTGAGTATGATGCCAGAGTAAGTACAAGAAACAGACCTTTTTCAGTGGCTACTCTGTGGGAGTCAAAAGAAACTATTCCAATACATCAAAAGAATGGCTTAGGATTGCTGGAGCCCATCCACAGTATGCAGCAATGCTTTTAAAAGTTATTTGCCAAGAGAGGGCAAAAAGAAAAAACGATTTAAGTCCAACATAGCACGGGTGATCCCAAGAGTGAAGCTAGATTATAGGAAATGGGGAGCCGTGGCTTCATTAGTTTCACAAAAGATTGAAGAGCCATTTTCCACCAAGGTAATTTGGCTTTTTTTTTTCTTTTGCCATAAACACCGGGTGGGTTTCACTGATGGGGAAAACGAAAAACGGTTCCTGGCTTTGGAACAATGGAAATTTTATATTAGAGCGGCCGGCAAAGAAAAGGAAAAGGTCAAAGTGTACATTCCTCTTGCTGCAACATGTTTTCACCAGTTGAACCTCACCCTTGTGATTAGCAAAGCTCAGACAGCTGATAGTTGGCAGTGGGGAAGGGGCAGAAAAAGGAGGGAAGTTTCCAGGGGCGTGTCAAAAGAATATTGTGTGAAATATTTGTAGCAGTTAACTAAAAAAGATCGAACATTCCCTGCTCCGCTGCTAGGACCTCCTCTTTTCATTAGTGGGAGGTATTCCTTTCCTCTAGGCTGAACAGGCTCCTTGTTCTCACTTTGGTCTCCATAGCTACTCAGACATTTATTTCACTTAATGTTATTTACTTTCGTTATTTTTACCCATCTAGAGAAGAAGTGGGCTTCCTAGAAGAGTAAGGAAATGGAAGTGTGAGAGTGGACCACTCCTTTGGAAAACAAATAGGAAAGACTGTATGGCATAAAACTTAGCTCCTTTCTCCTGAGAAAGACCCAAAGAATAAAGATGATGGTACAGATAGTGTTCAACTAGAATCTTTGCGATGATAATGGCAGCATTTCTTGACCTAGGCTTACCCCTGATCAGTTTTCTCTGGTTGCCTGTGGAGAGACAACAGCCACCAATGCTTTACTTTACTTGAAGCTGTAGTCCCAACATGTGCATACCACACCCCCCCACCCCCGCACTACTTCTTTCTCCTAAGCTTTGACTTAGCTATCTTTTTTTTATTTTTATTTTTATTAATTTATTTATTTGAGAGAGCGTGCGCATGCGAGCTGCTGTGGGGGTTGGGGTGCGTGGGAGGAGGGTCAGAGGGAGAGGGAGAGAGAGAATCTTAAGTGGGCTTCGTGCTCAGCACAGAGCTCACACAGGCTTGATCTCATGCAGGGCTTGATCTCACAAACCAGAGATCATGACCTGAGCTGAAATCAAGAGTCAGATGCTTAACCAACTGAGCCACCCAGGTGCCCCTGACTTGGCTATCTTGAAGGTAGCAGAAATGTGATTAAAACCCACCTAACTTACTCATGTTTCTTTAGGTAGCCTCCAGGAATGCCTAAGAGCCTCTCAGAGCTATTTGAACAAGTCACCTCTACGAGTGGATAGATGAGAATCAAAATTCTAGGGGTGCCTGGGTAGCTCAGTCGGTTAAGCATCTGACTCTTGATTTTGGCTCAGACCATGATCTCAGGGTCCTGAGACGGAGCCCCACGTAGGGCTCTGCACTGGGTGTGGAGCCTGCTTCTGCTTCTCTCTCCCCCTCTCCCTCTGCCCTTCTCTGCCCCACACGCACACACATGTGCACACTCTCTCACTCTCTAAAAACAAACAAACAAACAAGAATCAGAATTCGAAGGGCAGGGTAATTACAACCTATATGAGGTTGATTTCAGAAGAAAACTTTAAAATGGTATTTGAAATGGAAACATACAATAAATATACATATGCCATGTTTCTCAAGGTGATTATATTTGTTTTATGTTAAAATAAAAGTATGACATAGAAAAGTTTAGATCAAGAGATCAATGTGAAATCTGTGCATGTGATTTTAGTGTTTTCATGCTTGGCAGAAATTTCTTCTTGTTTCTGCTTATGAACTTAACTACTTTTTTCCACTTTTGGTAGAAAGATGATGCATATAACGTTCTGTATTCAATCCTTCTTAATATCTATTACTACTTTACTCGATCTTATTTTCCATTTATTCTTTAAAACAAACCCTCTTCCCCACCCTACTTTCACCATAAGATCTTTGTGTTTCTGTTCAGTTGTTCAATAAGTAACTGAATAAATAACTATCCTACCATCAGGAATATCTTCTCCAGTTTCTCTATTCTCTTCCCTATTTCATATCCCATATTCCAACATTCAGTTTAACTTCCATCAAGTAAAAAGCTCTCTGATCCTACCTCAGTCTATTCTGAACTTCTCAGCTCTAAATTTCTATATCACTTATACATTTATACCTCACAATCCACCATTTTATTTAACACTACCTTATATTATTCTCTAGTTGTTTCATGGACATTTACTTTCCCAAGCTTACAGTGTTCCTTTGTATTATTCATAGTGCGTGTGTTTAGTTAGCACTAAATTAGACGTAGGGGCTTGACCTAAACCCTAAAACTGTTGAAGGCAAATGTCAGGTCTTCCATTATGATTTTCCAATAACAAATTTGTCATCATTCTCAATATTTATGAACTTCTATGAGGGTCTTGGGCACTGAATTTCAGGTAGAATAATTACCAACATATGTAAAACTCTGTAGAATGTCTATTCTTTATCAGTAGGTTTTATCTTCCAAATAAATTTAGGAGTTAATCCACCCACTTCTAAGGAACAGAAGAGTTCCTACTGTTTTCCATAACCATCCAGTGAATAATACCAAGAATATCTCTACATTTGATTGAAACACAAAAGTTAGGTAGGCAGATGTAATTACTGAAGCTGGAGTTTGGCCAGGAAACTTGGAAGAACACTCCCAATCCCACCACAGATTCCATAGGTAACCACAACTGGTCAGAATCTCCCATTTCCATGTACCATCTTAAACATAGTCCTTCTTTTACGCCCATGCCTCTAGTAAAATAAGGCCACTCTAGCAGTAAGATTCAAAGGGGGAAAAGTTACATCCAGGGAGTTCCTAAAGAACAATGTATGTTTTCTATTTATTTATTTATTTATTTATTTATTTATTTATTTATTTATTTATTTATTTATTTATTTCAAACTTATGAGGTCTACAGGAAATACACAAAGCAAGCACCACAATGCTTCTAGCAGGAAATGCATCCTGTTTTGCTAAATTGGAAGAATGACCTTTAGTTATATAGCCAGGTACTCATTCTTTTTAATATTTACCAACACTATGGAAGAATTTAACTCTTCTTTGGGAAATGTGGAAGGGTATGGTGTTTATATGTGTATGTCTCAGGCAGAATGAGGAGTCAAGAATTAACTCTACCCCTTACCTCATTTTTCATAGGACCATTTTTCTGAGTCCTTTGGATTGTTTTAGGCTCTTTTATACACATGTATGTCAGAAAAACATTTTCTTAGGTTTCCCTCACTGATCATATAAGCAGAGGTAATGATAAAATCTGACTTTGACTTTCTGGTATATTATAACCCTCAAATCCATGTTTCTTCCCCAGATGCAATAGAAGCAATTAAAACATATTTAGATATCTAATAAGTGATTAAAAATTGATAAATATTCATATGTATGAATTACGTAGTTAGGCTACAACATTGTGTGGGGAAAAAAGATATATCACTAATTCTGAATTTATTTTGCTGCTCAAGAATAGCAAAGAAGGAGAAAAACCACTTACATGAGTACTCACTATTATGTGTTTTCAAATTCACTTTAGGTTAATTTTTAATCACATTGATGTCTAGTTTCTCGTTGATTTCCCTAACCCCAAAAAACCTTACTTCCTGACAAGCAGCAATAAAAAAAACAGGACCAAATTTACTGTTATTGAGTCCCTACTTGTTGAGTTCTAAGGCGTTCACATGCTTAGGTGTCCTTAGTATTAAATGCTTTGGATCTCAGAACATACAGCCTCAGGTTTCCTTACTTCTGACCAGTCCAAAGCTACCCACTGAGGTGGACATGACTGGTTGTTGCAGGGCTCCTTTTCGATAGGCCGGTGTGTTAAACAACCACTGTAGTCCAGTGTCTCCTCCTCGGAAGGTCCAATCTTCCTGATGCAGAGCACTGCCCTGGTGCGCATTCCACCATCACAAGTCTTGCTACACTCCAACCAATCCCCAATGAACCACCTGCAGCAAGAAGTGGAAGAAACACAGAAAGACATTTCCTCAGTGTAGCCAGAGATTTTGAGCTGAGTAAAAGCACTTTCATCAATGGACATTCTCTTCCTAAAAGAGCTGACATTTCAGTGTTGGTTGATGTGACAAATGACCAATGGAAGAGCTGCTAAGGAAAAGATAACACACTGTCAGCTGCCTTCCAATTGTAGTGTGTGGGCTTTGGAGCAGACAGAAGTCAGGTCCAAACAAGTAATGCAACATATGTTCTTAACCACATTGATATCTCCCCTTTTCTAAATTAATTTTTAAAATGAAGATAACAATATAAATCATGAGATTGTCATGAGGATTAAGTAATAAATATGAAGCTCCCGGTCATGTGCTGGTTAAGTGTTTAACAACTGGCTCTTTATGGGAGGGCAGGGGTCTTGATTTGTTGCATTTACCAATTTTGTGATGTGAATACCTATCACCAATTTCAACTTACAACCTTGACATGCTGAACATATCAAGAGAAGATATGCTAATAACGGCATTTCAGGAGCCAGTTAGCTTGCTTTAGGACACCACTGAAAGCTTCTAATTTTGTGTCTGATACCCAACAAACAAGAAACAGTAGCTTTATTTATTATCACATTGAGGCAGTTTCTCCTATAATCAAGGATTTTGTGCTAAAACCACATTAAAGGAGCTAGGGATTTGTTTTTTGATTTTCAGAAATGAATGTCAGGCCCTGCAGAAGATAGAAGGCCTTTACTATGCTTATGGGGCAGAGAGAGCCCAGGCATCCATCCTGAAGATGCAGGAGTCTTTAAACACCTGCACTAAGAGCAAAGCCTGAGCCAGCTCTGTGAAAATATGGAGGTCCCTTGTTTTGATCCCTCTGCTCCTGAAAACAGCTTCTACGCAGCTAACATGGGAAGAAACCAAAAACAAAATGAACGTGTTTCACGTTTATAGGTGAACCACTCTTTTTCCCTAACGTCATCAATGAACTTTCATATATATGTAATTTCAGGGTGTGTATATGTATGTGCATGTGTGTATGTATGTGAAACTTCTGCAGAACTCACTCTCTGAGGCACATTATTTGGTCCAAAAGTGTGAATCAAGATACAAATCAGACCAATGAGAATTTGGCTTTAAAATTTTTCTGTCTCCACTAGAGCAAAAGGGGGACTTTCCCTTCTTGTCACAAAAGTGCATAAAGATATAAGAGCTGCTGGAGGCCCTGTGCCCTGTCAAGTGGAATTAGCTGATGTGAAAGAATGCAGAGGAGCTAGGGAGCCCTGATGGTGTTTGAGTCCTGGAGCCATTTCTTAAATGAGATCCATTGTTGTCCTTCCCTCAGCTTTGTTAAGTAAACCAACAGACCCTCTTCTGTGCAGAAAGTAGCTAAAGTCTAAGTTGTGTTATTTCCAACCAGAGTACTGATTGATATATGATTGCATTTAATTTCATAAATATATGCTGAATGCCGACTATATTCAAGGCATTGCACTTTGTTTTATAGAAGATGAAGTAAGATTAGTGTGAGGAAAATGTTTCTTCAAAATCGCGAAAAGAACAATGTTGAAACCAGGACTAGATTCCCCAGCAGTTACTGTCTCCACTGAATTTCATTTTTAACTCTGCTAAATAGTAGGACCTAGTTCACAAGCATGAGGTCACAAGTCATTTTCTTCAATCCGTGATTATAAATTATGCAACTATCCTCAGTGGATATGCTCATACTCTTAGGTAAGAGACTCTCCAGACAGAAGAGTATGAAAGCTTAAGAACAAATTTCTCTAGTTAATTGTGCCAGTTTTATATGGGAGAGATAACATCTCAGTGAAGTCAGAATCCTAGGTTCCGCATTCGAGCCTGTAGTTAGCCAAATAGGCAACAACCGCCTTTGTTCACTATTATTTGTATTATCTTTAGTTATAGAGGGAAACCAGCTTTTAGAAATACTGTAATTAACCAGTTTCTCAAACTTAGCATACGTCTTTCCAAAACTTAAAAATTTTCAACCTACAATTCACTTAAAGAATGATAATTTAATCCTGAGAATCTGATATTAATTTTTTTTCTAAGTCATTTTCCAGAGGAGATTTAAAGTGATTTTCATATTCTTTCCATTTTGTTTTCCACAGATGAACATGATCCCAAGTTGTTAGTACCATTTTTGGTAAAGAGGAAAATGTGTACTGAGAATAATAACTTGCATGCCAGCCATAGTGAAACTCTGATTCAATTCGCAACAGTGATTTCATCACCAAGATTAGAGGATAAAACAGAAATGTGTAGAACTCAGCCACAAAAAGTCCAGTCATACCACATCCAGCCATGATCTCATTAGGTCTCTGTAAGAGGGATGGAGGCCTTCAAATTAAACACAGGTGCCCAGAGTAACAGCAGTGATTCAGGAGGTGTTGCTGTTCTTTGCTGCACGAGGTCAGGTCCACCTCTGCCTTTTTAGTCTTTGTCCTCTCCTTTATTGCCAACCATCTCTTAGTCTAGATGTATCAGTCTAGTATTTAATTTGGAATGTATGAAAGTAGAAGTATTAACCACCCTCCCAATTTCCCTTCTGACTTGAACTCTGATTTCAGTCCCTGTTGCATCTTTATTGCTCACCAAATCATCCCTTCCCATGTCTCTCTAAAGGATTAAATCACACCAGAGTTATTTAAATAGTTTTGCAATTTTGCCACTGCATCTACTCATCTCATTTTCTCTATTCCTCTGTCCAGTTTAAGACATACGACTTCCTTCACCTTCACTCTTCCCATTGTATTTGACCATCTGATGACCTTCTTCCTAATTCCTCCTCTAGGTTTGGTGGTAAGAATATGAACACAAAAATTCTCTCTGGAAATATCAATGGCTGAGTTGTTACAGTCTGAACAATACTAGGAATGCTTCTTTCTGAGCTCTTCCCAACACCCAGTGATCAAATTGTCTTCATCCTCACAAGTGTCTTCATATCCGTTAGACATTAACAACTAGTGGAATTCATGTTTGAGTGTCTGAAATAAGAGTGGTGTGTGCAGACTGTGTAATCTTGACCCATAGTGTCTGTACATTAATAGGACAAACAAGAATATTATTGGGGGCAGGGAACAAGGGAGACATTATAGAAATTTTTCCCAAACCTAGGTTAACCAGAATGTTTGAAGAAAGAACCAAGCATAAAAGCGGGATATTATTTTTGCTTTTTAACTTAAAGGGAAATGGCAGAACATATGAAAATAAACTGATATTAGATGTTTGGATTAAAAAAAAGAGCTAGATTTCCCAGCCTTTGTCCTAGTGTCAAGCATCTGATTATCAATAAATGCAACATAGCAAAATTTTTAAAAAATCTTCATAATCTCACAATAACGTCTTTACTCAAAGAGAGATTCAAATACGTAAACTATTACTTACAAAGATACTAGAACTTTGTTAGATTTTAAAATAGGTTTTAGAAAAAATTGCTAAACCTTAAGTTGGTAAAAAAGAAAAGAAAATCTGCTCATTCCTCAGCTAATTGGAGAGTAAAACTAATATCAAGTATAAGCCTCTATGCCATAGACATTTCACAGCTGAGATTTTTCTAAATTGAAAAAAAAAATGAATGTAATAAACATCTCTGAAATTACAGCAATTAAGATTGTGGCAATGAAACAAGCAAATATTAAGTATTTTAAGTATTCAGGTGCCACCAGACATTTGATTCGTAACTTACAATGTCAGTGATGTGTGTCCAATGAGAAAACATCACCAGAGATTAGCATACTCACATCATGATGGGAGGTGGCCTACATGACTTCTATGATTGTTCCCAGCTCTTAAATTCTGGAATTTTATAGAGGACTCTGATGAAATTTCCTCTAAACTCAAAATAACAGATTATAGTTGTCCTTGGGTGAGGTACAATGACTCAATATAATTGTTAAACATTATATCATAAAAGATACTATTAAATAAAAACTAATCCCCAAGCAAAAATTTCTCCCCAGCCCAAGCATCCTTTAGCACTTTTGTTTATAACTCTCTTATTGTGCTTAACATATTTTGCCTAAACTATAGTTATTTTTATATGTATTTACCCAATTACATTATCCTTAGGCAAGGGAGCCATTTCTCCCAAAGCACAATGCCTTTCACATTGCAGTTGCTTAAAAAAATGTTATTTAGTTCGTGGTCACAGTATTATCACAATGTATAATACTCTATTGTTTTCACCCCACTTATTTTCACAACTTTAAAAACCACAGTATCATACAGGAATAATATTCACTATCCAAGAATTCTTCACATGGGACCATATATAGAAACATTCTTGCCATAGAAAGATAGCATGGTCAAAACTGAACTCTTGGTCATTCTCTTTGGATTCCAACTCAGCATTACTTCCTTTTCTCATGGTGGGGCACTAGCTTCCTATCAGTCATGGTCTTTATATCAACCCCTCCCTTTTCCTTTTTCCAGTTATTTAAGCCTTTGTCAGGAATCCCACCATTTTCACTCAATGCCTCTGGAATTCTTGTTTTTTTCCTGTCCTTAGTCACCTTACCATCTTGACTACTATACTGTTTCTCACAAAAGAGTTGCTGCTATGAGCACATTAATTTTTCCCCAGCAAGGCTTCCTCTGCCCTTCAAGGTCTTCCACATAAACTTACTATTAATATTTCTCTACCAATGTCTCTTTCATCTATTCTTCCTAGTCCCATCATTTTCTTTATAAAGCACAAAGATAAATCTTACTGCCCTCTATTCTTCCATACCTTCCTTATAAAGTCTCCAATATGACTAAGAGACATTTGAAGTATTTCATTATTTAAAAAGATAATTTCTGATTTAAAAAATACCACTTGGACTTTTAATAATGGTACTGGGAATTTGAAAATAAATATAGATCCCTTCCTCAAAGTAGGCAAATATATTTCAAATAAAGTTTACATTAAAAAAAAAAGAAGAAACTGAAAGTACAGTCTTAGAGTGGATAAGGCCTTCCTAAACATTATACCTAAGAAAGAAAGAAAGGTTTGATAGTTTTTCTACGTAATATTTTAAGACTTCTATAAGTAAAAATAGATCATAAAACCATAAATAATATGGAAAATAAATGACAAACCAGGAAAAATATTTGAAACAGGTAAAGAATTAATATCCTTAATACATTAAGAGTTCACAGAAATCAGTAATAAAATGATAAACACTTCAGTAGAAAAATGGTATAGGTTAGGCCATGGAGGCGAAAGCAAAAAGAAATACAAATGGCCACTGAACATAATTTTTCAATGTTCAGTCTCATCTGCAATCCAAGAAATACAACGTAAAACAACAATTAGGTATCAAGGCTTTTTCCCCCCATAACATAATCAAAGATTGTTTCTAATATAATAATATCCAGGGGTGCCTGGGTGGCTCAGCCTCCAAACTTAAAAAAAAGTTAATAAATAACTTTTTATTTTAGAATTACAAAAGGAAAGGAGATAGGAAACTTAATTTTAATTATGTATGTTAATTCAAATGCCAGTTACCCTTAAACTACACACACACACACACACACACACACATACAAAAACAACTCCAATGTAATATCCAAGCCCACGATACATGGCATGGAATGACAAACCACTGCAATCTCAAAGGACGTTCAAATAGCATTTAAGCTGAAACAAATAAAAAAGTTGAAGCCAAAATAGAACAGCTGTGACCAGGACCACTCAGAGGTCTTAAATGGATGATCAAATACCAAACATAATACTTAAAATCCTGAGTGTCAGGAAATTAACTTGATTAGTTGAGATGTACAGTTATATGAAAATAATATTGAAAGTTACTGGAAATATGAGAAGGAACAAAATTTATGCAGCTTTTAGAATTTATATAGTTTTCCCATTTCTTTTGAGTTAAATTTATAAAAATAATTGGCAGAAAGGAGAAAAATTTTTTAAAAATCAAATGTCTTTGTAATACACATCATAGGTCATATTTCTATACTTTCTGGATTTTAAGAAATTAGTTACATCATGATCACATTTTGAAAAGAAGAAACATGAAATTTTAGAAGTCCTAAAATAGGGCTCCTGGGAACCTCAGTTGGTTAAGTGTCTGCCTCCAGCTCAGGTCATGATCCCAGGGTCCTGGGATGGAGCCCCACCTCGGGCTCCCTGCTCCGTGGGGGGAGTCGGCTTCTCTCTCTTCCTCTGCCCTTCCCCCCTACTTGTGCTTGTGCTCTCTCACTCTCTCTCGCACATGCACACATTCTCTCCCTCAAATAAATAAATCTTAAAAAAAATAAATAAAGGTCCTAGAATAAAAACGTCTTTCACTCTAGATTCCTTGTGCTCCTTGTTTGGTAGTCACTGCCCTAAACTGTTTCAAGAGACTAGCAGTGAATATCTCCCTTTAAGATTCAAATATCTGGACAGACACTGACTTTGGGAAATGAAAGTTGATATGGCATTATTGCATTGAAACAAAGATAATGAACACATCTTGCTTTAACCACCTTAGGGACCTAAATCCTTTATTGTGATTCCTCTGTCATTAACTGCATGTACAGCTTTCCTCTTCAGTTCTAAGAGCTTGAGATATATAAATTCATTTGTGTAGTCCTTTTCCTTATTAATTTCAAGTTGGGATAATTAGTTAACCAAGGAGATAATGGTTACCCTGATTTCTCAAACAAGGATGAAATGCCATTCACACATATTCTGTCTTGCAGTTGTCAAACAGGCAAAAGCCCTACAAAGATCATGATCAACTCAGTATCTTTGTCTTCAGCATCTTTGTCTTTTCTCATGTAATCACTGCCTTTTTTCTTTTTAATTTTTTTAAATGTAATCTCTATGCCCAACGTGGGGCTTGAACTCATGACCCTGAGATCAAGAGCTGCATGCTCTACCAACTGAGTCAGCCAGGGGCCCTTAATCATGTTTTTTGCTCAGCCCAGAAATCTTTCTGTTCTTACAGATTATAAAGTGTGACTCACTGACAGCAGGTCCATATTGTTAAATTTAAATTTTTTTAAAAGTCATCATTAAGATGAATGGGCCGTAAGCTTATGCCTTCCTTTACAGTGAGCTGTAACTGCTACATTAATCAACAGAATGAGACTGAAGTCCACCTCTATGCCTGTGCCCAGCACCCAGAAGATAGGATGACTTAGGGTGACAGAACTTAAAACTGGGTCAGCAAATTAAAGCTCTGATATTCCATTACAGAATGTTTCCAAAACATATTAAGAGTCTTTAGACCTTTAGGATAAATATCTGGAAAAGATACGACTGCATACCCATTTACTGTGTTTTACTGAATTTAACATACCATTATTTAAAAAAAAATACCATTATTTTATATACCATTAAAAAAGATAAAAATAATGCTGATTATTATTGTAAGTAACACACTATCAATTGCAAGATGAAGCTCAATCTCCAAAATGAAATCTGATAATTTCCAATACTATGCCAGGATCAATCTACTAAAGTTCCTGCTTTAAAGGAATTAATAACTAAAACCTATGGATAAATAAGAATCTTTGCTCAGTGAGAGGGATATCAAAATTCTACCCTCCAAAATGCTTTATCCCCCTTTTCTTATATATGAATGTTTCCAAATATGAATAGCTAAGTGTTTTTCTCTTAAAGAAAGTAATTCTCACTTCTTACTCTTACTTACTCAGGTGGGCAGGGCTCAGTGTTGCAGGCTCTTTGATTTTCAGGTGGCTTACTCTCAGGGTCACAGTAATTGTTCTGGACAATAGAGTTGTCATCCAATCTTTTACAGACCACCTCCTGTCTTTGGACACCTTGAGAAAAGGAGGACATCATTAATTGAAGAGTAGTTTACTTTCCAATAAGTTAGGTATGCATAGCTTTCCTCTGGGGAATCAACCTCACTGGATCGCTGCTGTCTTATCTGTTCCAGAAACACTTGACTGCTTCTCTAAAAAGGAGAGAAGTCCTGGTCATTATACTGCAATTTTAGGCAAAATTATTGTTCTCATATTTAGAAACATAACTGTTTTCAAGTTCAGAAAAGAAACTATTGGTAATTTTAAACAATTAGTATTCCCATTTGTATATTCTTCTTCATGCTTACCTTAAAAAAAAAACTTCATCTTTCCAAAATACCATCAGATAAAATGTATGAATATACATTTCAATGCAAAACAATCATTATATATCTATTTAAAAATAAGACAATAGGGACAAATTTATTTTTTGATATTTTGTAGGACAAATTCCATCAATTTAATCTTTGTTAGGAACATATCACATTCACACATTTCATTCTTTTTCTTCCATTTATAGATTTATTTTTCTAAAAGCCCACAAAGTCTAGAATTTAGAGATTGCAGTAGGCCTCTTCTAGACTGCATTAGTCTGTTTGCTTTAATCGAGTTGGCCCCCTGTTGATTACACCACTGTCAAACAGATATATATATATATTCCTTGAAATAATAACTCAGAAGATTATTACCTCAATCTTAAAAATTAGTCTATGTGACCTGTTTGCCACTGCTAAAAAATTCTCATTATAAAATTTGTAAAATTCTATATATATGTTTATTATTAATTGGCAAAGATATCCACCACAACTTGCTCACATTTCACAAAATACAAAGACACACACAAACACACTGTTATTTGTAAACATCCCTGAGTGAGTAGACCTTAAGCCGTCTCATTTTTTCTTTAATGTCAAGGAATCTAAAGAAGCAAAGCCAGGTATACGAAGGTATCAGAAAAAAAGTAAAACTAAAAACAATGATATATGTTTCAGATCATATAGAGGTAGCAGGTTACTCCTGGAGTTGGAAATAAAAGCATAAACTACCCCCCTATTTCCCCACCCCATCTTTATAACCAGGTAAGTTAAATTTTCTGGACAGAGTTATAAAAACAACATTAGCAATATCCAGGAAACCACAGCTTCACACCTAGCTAGCCCCACACAAACCCACAGTTTTGCTTTTTTTTTTTTTTTCCAGCTGCTTTTAATAGTACCCTAAAGAAAAGACTTTAATCTCAAATTAGGGGAATCAACGTGCACTAGGATCATTCAGTAAAGGAAACTGTCATATACCAATGCTTCCCCCAACGTCCTTTTAAGAGTCATGGATATTCTGTAGGTAGGGGTGCCTCAGACATCATGCTATGCATACTTTTAACTAAAGCAAGATAGGGAAATCCAGGACTCTGATTGGGAAACTTACTAAGTCCTGTAGCCTCCATGGTGGTGGTGAGCAGTTGAAGAAGGTATATTTTACTATTTGCAGTGACCCAAGACTTTTACTAATCTCTTTCAATAAATTTTTAGGTTTTCCTAAATTTAGGGGTCTAAAACATAGCCAACAACTTACTGGCAAAATATCTTAGAATATGTGTTGTATTCATTCCCTCCGAACCCCTAGAATAGGCCAAATCTCAGTTTATGTACAACAGTTTGGAATTTTTTAACCATTAAACTTTAGATTTTTGAGGGAAGAATGATTCACATCGTGCATAGCTGTGATCCATTCACAGATGTTCCACAATATTCATCAGATATCTCTCCATTGTGTCATTCCAGTGGGCAGATAACTAAGTCCATGTGATCCACCTAGACAAAAATCTCTACCATTAGTCATAGGATTCAACTACCAATTGCCACAGTGGCTCAGAATATTTATCCACCCAGTTCAATAGGTTGTTCCTATCAGGGAGAGCAGGGGATTATTTTTGTAAGTTAACACTCATTTTTTAAAAGTCATTCAAATATGATTATACTTGGAGAGGGAGACTCAAACCACCCACTTACAAAGAGGACTTACACAACTTTACCCATCTTTGATAATTATATTTAATAATAAAAAAATCTGATTACATTTGCAATAAGAAAGTTGTCATTCAATTTAATAACTTGGTTGTTTTTCAGGAAAGAATAAACATTTTCAGCACTATAAAATGGAACTGATGTTACTTTGCATCAGTGTCAGAAACATCAGTTCAGTTTCTACAGGTTAAGACAAAATTCTACTTCTTTTAAATTAACCCTAGAAATGTCATTTGGTTATAGTTACATTAATTTTTAAAAGTAGCCTTTAATGTAAAAGCAGGGCCTCTGCAATTTGAATCACAGGTGAGAAATTAGTTATTAGAGGTGAGATTTATATTTGATCCTAAGATAAATTCTAACCATATATGTATCTTGAAAAACTTAACTACATAACGTTTATTGTTGAAAATTTGGAAAGTAAATAAAATCACAAGGAACAAAATAAAAAATATCCATAATCTCATATCTTTGTTCTGGATCTTTATTTTTAAGGCTATTTTGCTTTTTGGTGGGATCCAGTAATTAGTTTAAAATTACATAGTACACAAACTGAACATTCCACTGAAATGTGGTTGACAAGTCATTCATTCATTCATTCATTCATTCACTCATTCAAAAGAGAATAGTCACTACAAGGAACTGTGCTTCTTAAGAGATAGATACTAAGTGCTAAGAATTACAAGTTGACTTAATTTTGGTCATGCCTTCCAGACTTCTTAAAAACTAGGAATTAGGACATTTTCGGGTTCACTTCAGTTTCATAAAATTTCAGAACACTAATTTTTATGAAGTAAAAATTAAAGTCCTTGAATAAACAGCTGAAATCACTCTATATTTCATGAAGATGCATTTTTCCTTAGATTCATCTTTTATTAATTTTCTTCTAAAATGTTCTATTAGACAGTGTGGTATTTCACACTCAAGAACTGACTATACCAGTAATCTATTCCAAATCTTCTGACAATGCTGATCTATCTTCCTCCAACAGCATAAAAGTCCCCTTCCAACTTTTACCCCCACACTTGGCAGATTCACAGATTTTTTTCTTTTTCTTTTTAAATCAGTAGCAACAGGGTAACTCTAAACCAATGCACCTAACTTAGGATGGATTTTGAAACACATACTTTGGCACTAAGGAAAATGCAGCTTTTAACTTTAGAAAGTAGAAAATACAGATCAAGTAGAAATAATCTAAACTAAGTCAAAAAGAAAAATGATTGAGTTTAGAATCTTTTTATATGATTAAGCCTCTTATATACAGCTTCTTTTAAAGTAATCTGTAAAACAAAATAAATCTTGTAAAGTAATCTGTAAAACATTGCTAAGAAGTTGATTCAAAGCCTGTTGGAAATAATTACATCCAGTTACAAAAAATCACTATGTTTTCAAATCTAAAGACTTACAGTTTATAACTAAAAACATAAAATGTGCACATGGCCAGTCAGAGATGCTTAATCAAAAACAAAATTCTAATAACTTAGTGTCCATGTCCTCTGGAGATATGCAGATGTTCTGCAGAATTTAACTGGTCAAATTTAAAACCATACTAATTGCATTTTATTCTTAAACATCTAAAGTTACTGGTATGCAAATTCTATACCTGTTTTTTTATTTAATGTAATCCCTCTTCCACGATTAAAAAAATTAATGGTGTCTTATCATGAAATTTAAGTACAAAGATGTCATTACCAATACATATTTACTTAAAACTCTCCAAAATGGGTAGATCCTGTTTAGAGATTTTTAATTTGCTTATCAAAGAATCATCAAATATGATGGTTCTTAACATGGAAACATAACCCTTACTTTTAGTCCCTAAGTTTAAATTTATCAGATCTTATATTTAATATTTAACTTTCAGCCAATAGCTAAAAGTTACAGATGTCCTGTCCGCCTGGGTGGCTCAGTCGGTTGAGTGACCAGCTTCTGGTTTCAGCTCAGGTCATGATCTCAGGCTTGTGAGTTCGATCCCCACGATGGGCTCCATGCTCAGCTTGGAGTCGGCTTCCCCCCTCCCTCTAGCTCTGCCCCTCCCCCCCGTTCATGCTCTCTCTCTCTCTCTCAAATAAATAATCTTTAAAAGAAAAGTTATAGATGATCTATTTTCCTACCAAATGTTCTCTTGTCTAGTGAGAGGAAGGAGAACCCAACTTGCATCACTGCTCTAGCTGTATCTCAGGAAATGGCTTTAAGTATTTTGAAAGAACAGGAAAGTTATTAAGAAGTCCAGCGAACTGCAAGGCAGTCCAGATGCAATCCTTCATCCACTGTACTTATTCTAGGAGATGGTGATGGTTCAACTGAAGACCACAGGATCTTCTGCTCAGCAGCCACATTCCTAGGGCAAATCCTGAGGGAAGGCTCCAGAGACCACAGTGCTTCTCAATTTCTTCTCCTCCTTTTCAATCCCGTCTCTATTCCCCTTATAGGTTGATCAATGTTCTCATATCCCACTTCTTTCTTCTTTCAGAAAATTAAGTAATTTTATAAACTCATTTGTAACAATATTTGGCAATATATTGCCTTTCACAGAATAGTTGATCATTTTTAAAGTAGAGAGGAGGGCATTTGATGCACATAAATTACCACCTGAATTTCACTTGAAAGAGTGCATCTGTTAAACCAAGAGTATATGGGGGAGCAGGAGAAAGACCTTCTAGGTCTTTTCAAATCTACTCTTAAGACTCAGGATTCCGGTCTTACACCATTCGGTTGGTAAGTAAGCAGTCTATAACCATATGTGAGTGAGTCAATAATGAAAAGAGAGGTACAAACAGGGATATAAATGAATCCTTGGGATTAATGGGCTAAACAACATCTAGGTAATTTAACCTAGCAGCATAGCACATCATATCTACCCAAGAAACAGTTTTCTGAAGAGGAAATGGGGAGAAAAAAGCCAAAAAGTTAGAGCTTATACTGCTAATGTGGCTGGTGGCTAAGACAACAATTTGCTTAACCACAACATCTAAAGTAGCTAGAGACAAC